CCAAATGATACAATCAGCAATACCATAGCATCAAGTGCAGCTTAGAAAATGACAATCTGTGGTAGTTATTAATCTATCACATTTAACTATGTGAAGCATAATCCCCATAGCATAATAAGTGTGGGACCAGGTAGCAGAAGAGCCGGAGGGCGGGGGGATGGGGGTGGGATGGAACTGGTCTTTGCAGGCACCTGCGTGGCTAAGCAGAGTGCCAGATGGGGGCGGGGCTCCAAGCTGCTCCTGGGACCTCACTGTGGCGTGGGCAGGAACTGGGACGTAGCCGCAGAGCTTCACACTGCTTTGCTGACCCGCGGAGAGGAGCGCCGAATGGGGGCCAGCATGGGCATTTTGATGAGCTCCTTCTTCACTTTTCATATTCAGCCCATCACTAAAACCTGCCAATTCTACCTCCAACATATTTCTAAAATCAGGGTGGTCTTGTGACTACTTCAACAGGAGAGCGCAGTGGGTGTAAAACTATCCACTTGAGGCCACGGGGCCACAGGGCCTCTACCTCATTCACCTGTGTTTGCTCCTGGAACTCAAGCATCCATGCTGAGAGAAGAAGCATGAGAGCCATGGGTAGGTGGCTTTGGCTGACAGTCCCACTCATCCTGAGGCAGCTATTCCAGTGCCCAGCCAGAAGTCAGTCCAGTGAAACTCCCGACAATGTGTCTCTCCAGACAAAACATCAGGTGTCACGAAAAAGCAGAAAGCTGTTCCTGTTGTGCTTGATCCCAATTTCTGACCCACAGACTCTGTGAGCATAATTCTGTTGCCATTTTACTCTACAGAGTTTTTGGATGGTTTGTTATGGCGCAATAAAGAATCAGAACACCATCAAAAATGTCTTTGGAAAAATGAATTAGAGACACAGTATCACCTTGCATTGCTCAAATGGGGGCTGGGGAGGGCTGGGAAAGGATGTTAGGCACCCAGCAAAGTACCTGTACATAGTACTGGGGCTCAGTTGTGGCTGCATACTAGTATCACTTGGGTAGTACCAAGAGTCACCAGGCCCAGAGCACACACATGATCTACTGAAACGTGCACTCTGGGAGCCAGGCTGGGACTCCTGGAGAGTCTCAGAGGCCCTGAGTTGTGAACATTCAATACAAGTAACTCAACAAGTAACAGCAACTATTCATTACCCAATGTTAAATTATAGTCAACATAAATACTATTTTAATGGCTCTATACAATTAATGCCATTATGGTTTTAGACCATTATTTAATAAAGCATTCTTGGAAGTTCAGATCTTTTCATTTTTTTATTATGATATGATGCAGATCTTCTAGCCTATAACTATTATTTTTATCTTTGTTAAATATTTGCTTGAGGTAAATTTCTGGGGGTAATACTGGGTATGGACATCAAAAATGTCACGGAATTCTGGAGGGGGGAAACACATTGCTGGCTCACCAGTGAGACCCTGTTTGTTCTCATTATGTTCCCATAGTGAGAGCCCTTCATGTCTACAGAGAAGAGACTGAAGCCAGAGAAGCAATACAGTCAGGTGGGAGGTGGCCCTGTGGCCTCAAATGGATAGCTTTACTCCCACTGTGCTGCTGGCTTCTTTAAAAAGTCCTCTTTATACTAGAAGAAAGGAAAACAAGCAGACAAAGGGGGTCTATAGTTAGCTGCTCAAAGAGAGGGAGAAGGGGAAAGAGCAGGAAAGGCCAGGCCTCAGCCTGGAAGAAAGTTTTGTTCATGGAGCTGGGAGTCCGACTGTCACCTGCAGTAGCAGTCAGAGCCCCAGGAGGCTGGGCTGAGGTGCATGGCAATTCATTTCTTAGTACCTCCAGGGTGTCTGCCCTGTGGGTGCACAGTGTGTGACAACAATCCTGAGGCAGGGGGTCCTGGGAGGGGAAGAGAGGTATTGGGCACTGCCCACCTCACAGGCAGCCAAGCTCTGTGAGCTTCCTCCAGGCAGAAGACTAAAAACAAACGTCTGATGTCATTCGGCAAGCACGTGCCTCATGTTTTATTCTCTTCATCTCCCGCACCACCCTGGGGCCTCCACTGCTCTGGAAATCCTAGGGTCCAAGGCAGAGGCCTGTGTGACATTGTGACTGTAAGGGTGGGAGGGAGACTCCTGGATCAGAGAGATCCTTCCTTGGAAATCCTCATACTTGAAAGCTGCTTTAGATGTCCTCTTCCTTTCTACGCAGCAGAGGCCAGATGTGCTATGCTGTGGCAGCGGAGGATAAATGGAGCAGAAGCACGGCCTGAAAGCCTCTTTGCAGAAGGGAGCATCACCCTCCACCCTGAAAGGGGCCAGGCCTGGCCTGCACCTGCGGGCTCCCCTCGCCTCCCTCCTGCATGCACAGTGCCCTCTGCCGGCGAGGGCCGGGCCTGATTTCCGGAATGCCCATAGCAGTGGCTTTGCCTCAGCTTCCATTTCTCGGGTTCTCCACCTGCAGGAGGCCTGGTCTGCGCTTCTGTGTGATTTTCCTCACAGACTAAATGACAACGTCATCTTCTTGCTAATGTCATAGAATGAGGTTGATCCACATGTTTTCAAATATAATTCTGGCTCCAATCTTTCTTCCTCGCTCCCTTTCTTCTGGTTCTAGTCATAAGTTTCACTTTCTCCTCATTTCCAAAGTTCCTTGCCGCTGATCTGGAGTCCTCCTGTTCACTGAAGGACAGACCTGGCTTCTGACAGCAGGACAAGTGTCCACAGGGGGCGTCGTGCAGCCCAGCCATTCTGGAGTTGCAGGGCCCCAGTAGGGACCACCCTGGCCTCCCAGCCTACTGACTGAAGGCAGGGCCTAGACACCAGCTGCTCCAACGTGTTCCTGTTAGGGAAGGACCTACTCCCAAGGTCACCTGGCCTGAGAAGGGCACGGAGGGGCGCTGCACAGCTCTCAGGACTCATCCCCAGTCCATTCCACCACCCATGCGTACCCTCCTCCAGCCTGCAGGGACCAAGCAGAAGGACCAGGGCTCCTGGACACCCTGTGGGGCCACAGAGGTCTTGCCGGTCAGGATGCTGCCAGTGTGTTCTGTACTCTACTTTTTGGTGGCGACTGTGATACTGGGAGCAGAGGTGGGTGGGGGCAGCCCCAGGTGCATCTGTGCAGTTATGAGAGCCCAGCCTCTAAGGGTCTTCTCCCCAGGGCGGCTGGAAGCAGCAAGGTAACGAGTGTAGGCAGGGGCAGAGGACTAATTTGAAGAGACTGAAAAAAAAACTACACCATTTGTCTAAAAAACAAAACTCAATGTAGATGATAAATATTGTGCCTTTCTCTCTGGGTAATGGGCAGATGTAGAAGAAAACAGGAGAGAAAGAAGAAACTCGGTTATGTGAGAAGTATGTCAGTAACTCTCGTGTTGTGGACATGTGTGCATATGAATGACAGGATACACTGGTGGACAGGAAGCTACAACCCAGGCCTGACGATGGAGGGGACATCTGATTCTTATCCAGGACATCACCTGGAACTGGGGCAAGCTGCTCCCTGTGATGGAAGAAGGGGCCCTTTGTGGCTCCAGACACAGCTCTTCAGTCCAGTGGGAAGATGAAAGAAAAGTTACAATTAATCTCCGACAAACCAGAGCAACTGTTTCCAGTAGCTGTATCTCCCTCTCCTCAGCACCTCCCAAGTGCCACACACACCATGTCAGAGAAGACAGTTTCAGTTTAATTTCCTGCAGCAGCATACAAAACAGATTAAGGAAATATAAAATTGGAGCCAGCTTGTGTTGGGAAAAGCTTATCTCTTTCCATTAAATTTTATTTTTTTAACAGTAGCATTTAAAAAGAGCCTGTACATAATCTTTCACAGAGGATTCATTTGAAAGCTCCTGGCAGGAGGGGTTCTGCACCCATGTATAGATTCTAAATGTCACACGAGAAATGGAAAAGCATAGATTGTCTGCCACAAGACAGGCACATGATTCACTGAGGAATAAAGAAAGGGTCCCCAGAACTGATTTCAATCTCATCACATCTTTTTTTTTATCACATCTTTTTTTAAAAGTAATTTTAGAATTGTCACCATATATTAAATACAATGAATTAAATCAAATTGAGATTCAAAGTTGGAAACAATATGGCTTTCATATTAATTTTTAATACAAATATATTAAGCATATCAAAGATCTCATATACTTTCTACAGTGAGCCTGAGGAATCCAATAAATGATTTCCCAAGCATGATTTAAATATGGATATAAAATCAGAGGGGAAAAAAAGGCGTGCATAAGAACCTCTGGAATCAGATGGCAACAGGAAGCTTCAAATACTGAAGCAAGGTTTCTTATTCTGCTCATCTCAGGAGCATAGGTGAGGGGTAGTCTGGGCATTAGAAAAGGAAATATAAGCAGGAGCTATACACATCAAGCAGCTCCAGAGCCACAAAAAGGTCTTCACAAAAGGCAGAAAATCCTAGAACCTTCATTACCTATCTGAGCTCAGCAGCGCCCCTGCTGACCCCACTGCACATGACACCTGGAGTAACTAACTCTCCAAGTGCACAATCCACGAAAGGGTTTTGTCTTCTTAGGAGGTAGAATGTCTTGGTAGAAAACATCTGTCCATTCACTCATTTACTATTGCCTGAGTAGCTGCCAGGGGTGAGACTTGGCCCTTGCCCTGGGAGGAGCTCTGGTACAAACAGAAGACAGAGTGTGACTACTAGATTATTCCAATGAAGCAACATGTGCAAGATGCAAAGTGCTGGAACACCCAGAGGGAGGGACCAGAGATGCCTAGGGAAACCTCAGGAGGGGGTCACAGATATAAGGGGCTCAGGTGGTAGAACTTCCAGTGCTAGCAACTATTCCAGAAAAAGTTGCTGTGTGTCAATACGTTTAATCAATCAAATGAATACTTATCAAGTACCTGAAGACCTTGGAGAAGTCATCTCTTCCCTGGGCCTCAGTTTCCTCAACTAAAAGGGGACAAAAGAAATTCTAAGAGTAATGAAGACCCAATGGGCTTTACAATGTACCACACTAGACACAGAGCTGGGGGGGGGGTGTAGATTTGGCTTTATTTCCAAATATTGTTATTGACTTCTAATTTAATTCCATGGGGGTCAGAAAATTTTCTTTGTATGACTTGAAACCTTTTACATTTACTGAGATTGTTTTATGGCCCAGAATATGGTCTATGTTCTGTAGATATCTAAAATGAATGTGTAGTGTACTACTGTTGGGCAGAGTGTTTTATAAATGTCAATTAGATCCTGTTGGTTGATGATGTTACTGAAATTTTCTACATCCCTGGTGATTTTCTAGCTGTTCTATCAACTGTATAACAAGGGGTCTGATGTTTCTAGCTACATTGTGATTTTCGGCGGGTTTTTTCCCTCTTTTCAATTTATCAGCTTTTGTTTCCAATCTTTTATAACTATGTGGTTTGGGGCATACATATTTAGTATTACTATGCCTTCTTGGTGGACTTGACTACTTTTTCATTATATAATGTCCTTCGTCTCTAGTAAAAATTTTATTTGTCCTACTTTATCTGATATTAATATAGCCATTTGGCTTTTGATTATGTTTTAATGATATATCTTTTTCTATCCTTGTACTTTCAACCTATTTCTATCATTATATTTAAAGAGAATTTTGTACAAACAGCATATACTTGGGTCACTTTTAAAATCATCTGTTCTATTAATCTCTGCCTTTTAACCAGTTTAGACTATTCTTTTAGACTACTTAAATAATTTATGATATAATTATTAATACATTAGGATTTAAATCTACCATTTTATTTTTGTTTTGCTTACTTTCTCTGCTTTTTTTTTCTATTTTTTTTCCTGTGTTCCTGCTCACTGGCACATTTTTTTAGAATTTCATTTGTGTGTGTGTGCTTGGTACTGGGTATTGAACCTAGGGCCTTCACATTGAGCTACATCCCCAGCCCCTCTTTTTAAAATTTTGAGACAAGGTATTACTGAGTTGCCCAGGCTCAAATATGGCAGGTTTCTACAGTATTTTTTAGTATATCTCTTACACAGCTTCTAACAAGTGATTATCATAGATTTTATTTCTTTCACCTTTTTCCTTCTCTTACAACATTTTACTGGTGTCACCATTTTACCAGTTCAAGTCAGGTATAGAAAACTTACCTCCTTTTATCCTTCCTATTTGGAAAATAATATTCCTACATATTTCTACTACATACAGCTGGAACCACATCAGACAGAATTATAATTTTTGCTTTGGGTGTCAATCTAGAAAACTCAAGAGGAGAAGGTAAGTCTATTTTTCTTACCCATATTTTTGTCTATTGTGTTACTCTTTAAAAAAATTTTTTTTATTGTGTTACTCTTGATGCTCCAAGATTTCTTTTTTATCGCTTTCTGTTTAAGAGAATTTGTTACCACAATTTTTTTCAGGGTAGTTCTTTTGGTGACAAGTTCTTTCAGTTTTCCTTTATGTATGAATGTCTTAATTTTCTCATCGTTCCTGAAGGATATTTTTGCTGAATACAGGATTTGGGATTGACAGTTCTTTTCTTTCACTACTTGAAAAAATGTGCTACTTTCTCCTTGCTTCCATGGTTTCTGATGAGAAAATCACTGTCATTCAAACTGTTTTTCCCCTGTAGGTAAGGGGTTATTTTTCTCTTGATGCTTCAAGGCATTGTTTTGGTTTTTCATTTTGCTTGTGGGAATAGGATAAAGATGGATACATAAGCCAATGAAACATAATAGGGAGCCTAGAAATGAACCCTCACATATATAAAAGAATTATCTCAACAAGAGTGAAACAAGATTACTCGATGGAGAAAGGTCAATCTCTTCAACAAATGGCTTGGGAAAAATAATATCCACATGCAAAAAAATGGAGCTGGGACCTTCCTTAACTCATATACAGAAAGTAGCTCAAAATGGATCCACTTATATGCGGTACATAGAATATGCAAATACATAGAGACAAAAAGGACAGTAGGTACTAGGATCTAGGAAAAAGTGTAAGAGACAGGAGGTTATTACTTAGTTATGACACAGTTTCATTATGGCATGATACAAAAGTTCTAGAAGTGGAAAACAGTAATGTTTTGAAATCAAGAACTGTGAGTCTTCTAATTTTGTTCTTTACTAATCCATGGATATGGGATGTCATTCTGTTTACTTATATTTTCTTCAATTTCTTTTTCTTTTTTTTTGGTACCGGGGATCAAACTTGGGTCCTTGCATCTGCGAGGCAGGTGGGAGAACCACTGAGCTAAATCCCTGACCCTTTTTAAAAATTTCTTTCAGCAATGTTGTACAGATTTTAATTTATAAATCATTCATCTTTTTGGTTAATTCCTAAGTATTTTATTCTATTTGATGCTGTTGTAAATGGAATAATTTTAATATTTTTGGATTATTCATTATTAGTGGTTAGAAAAACAACTGATCTATGCCTGCTGATTTTGTATCATGCAACTTTGCTCATTGTGTATATGTTTCCTAGATATAAATCATGCCATCTGTGAACAGAGATATGTTCAATTTTGATGCCATGCCTCTATCATTATTTTAAAATTTTATTAGTACATGGATATAGCACATGCTTACATTCCTGTAGGAAGTTGGTACATGTACGTAACACATCTGAATTCCTTTTCTCATCCTCTTTCTCTTCTCTCTCTCTCACATCTACCCATCTCTTGACCCCCCAGCATTTTTTCTATTTTTGCAAAGTATTCTTTCCATCCCACTTTATTTCTCTGCTCCTTCTGGCACTCCAATGTTAGATCTTTTATTATTTGTCCACAAATTCCTAAGGATTTTTGTTCAATTCTACATTTTTTCAGTCTTTTTACCCTGTTTTTAAGATTGGGTAGTTTTTATTCTCTTCAAGTTCACCAATTTGTTACTGTTATGTCCATTTTGTTGTTGAGCTAAATTATATTTATTTTGCTTACTCTTTCCTTCCTTCTTCCTTTTTTTTTTGGCAGTGTAGCCAAGTCCTTCACCACTAAACTACATCCTCAGATTTATTTATCAGTTCTTAAATTTCTGTTTGCTTATTTATATCTTCTGTAACTCTTCTGGCTCCTTAATGATATTTTATATTTTATCATTTGTTTTGAGAATGTCTGTAATTACTCACTGAAGCGTTTTTATGATGGATGCTTTAAAATTTTTGTCAGATAATTCTAACATCTTGGTTATCTTGAAATTTGCCTATATTTATCCCATTTTTTCCAAAAGATTGAAATGGTCCTGGTTGTTATGGTTTGTATCTAGATGTCCCCAGAAAGCCTTATGAGCTCATAGGTGAGACTTTTGGGAGGTGGCTGTATCATGGTTGTGTGAGGATGGATTTGGGTGTGTGATACTGGGATTGAGGCTGTGTGGCATTGGATTAGTCCACTAACTGGTTTATCATAGTTCTTGGTGTAGACAATGAGAAGGCCCACCCTGGGTGTGGGTGGCACCACCCAAAAGGCTTGTAGCCTGGATGGGATAACAGGGAAAAGGCTGCTTTCTGTTTGTTGCTTCCTGCCTGCCACTCCAGGGACTGTTTCTCCTCTACCATGCTCCTCTGCTTTGCCTTGGAACCAGACAACTGTGGACTGAAACCTCTACAAACTGTGAGCCAAAATAAACCTTTCCTTCTTTAACTTTGAGTGTCAGGTATTTTGTCTCAGCAACGAGAAAAGTAGATACTGATTCTTGGTATGATGAGTGATTTTCAGTTGAAACGATCATTTTTAGCATTCTGTTATGAGAGTCACATTTCATCTAAACCTTTGTTTCAGCTCACTTTCTCTGACATCACCTCAGTAGAAGAGTGAGGTTATAACACCTTGCTAGTGTCACATGAAGATATAAGCTCAGGTTCCTCACTTGATCCCTTGTCTCTATTGGGCTTATATGTTCCAATAAGGAAATTTCTGCTTATTTTTAATAACCATGCTTAAATTTTACCTATAATTTTATTTTTCCTCCTCTTCTCTTTCTCCTTCTCCTCTTTCTTCTTTTCCCTCCTCCCTCCCTCTTTTATTAAAAACACTCCTAAAAACTAATATTTTCTATTTGATGGTCAGTAGCCATTCACAAATATCAGAGCCAGGGGTTTCTAAACCACTCTTTGAAGGTATTAGTGACTATCACAGTACATCATCTAACCATGCCCTCTTGCTTTCCCTCTGTCCCTTCCACCTACCATGTGATAGAGTGTGGTGTTACATGTTTAGAGGAGGGAAGCCCTCTTCCCTACCAAATATGCAAAATATTTTGTATATGTACACTTTTCTCTGGTAAGTTGGGAGTTCTTTCTCATGACCTTTTTGTCATGACCAAATAGGTTAGGAATCACTGTAGCAAAGTAAAAAATGGGGAAAACAGAGCTGCATGTTAACTACCCATTGTGTGGAGCTGGAAATCAGGGTTCAGGATGGAGTAGAGAGAGACCAGTGTACAGTAGCTGATAACTTACATCAATGAAAGGAGCATCTTCTGGGACCTGTAGCCTGCATTCCCTATTCAGATCCAGAGAAAGCTAAACAGATTCTCAGAATGAGATGAGAAAGGGAAAAAAATAAAAGCCAAGAACCAAAGTATAGTGCAAGAGGTTTGAATCTAGATTACAAAACAAAACACACAAAACAAGTTATAGCTTATATTTAGATGTTCCCTCAAAGCCTCATGCAGTAATAAGTGGGGCTTCTTCAGAGGTGGCTGGATCTAGAGTGTGTGACACTGGAATTGATTCATGGTACAATGCTAGGATCAAGAGCACTAAGATTGAGAGTGTGAGTGCTACCTGCCCTAAGTGGCCTGGATAAGATACAAGGGATAGAAAGAGCTGTGGTCATCCCCTGCCTGTTTTGCTACCTTCTGCCTGCCATCAACTGCTTCTCCTCTGTGATGCCCGTCTGCCATGCCACCTTGCCTTGGAGATAGCTGATTATGGCTGAAACGTCTATACACTGTGAGCT